GATCCAGACCTCCCATTCATTTGTTTAGCTCTGAAGGTCTATGAAGTTGATATGTGTTTACATATTTGTTCACCCTTTCGCTCTTTTCCAGTAACTACGGGTGCTGGTCAAACTTGTGTGTATGTGTGTGTCTGTGCTTCCCACTGCTGAATTACACAACTCTTTCCAACCCAGGGGCTGAGAACTGCTCTGATGTGACCTGATGATTTTATTGCAGCTACAGGCCTTAAGGAGACCCTCTCTCTCTTTCTCTCTCACGCAAATACACACACACACACACACACACATACACACACACACCTAATATATACATACATATATATATATATATATATATATATATATATATATATATATATATATATACTAAGTTACCCTCTGTGTTTCTGTCTCTCACTTCTATTGCTGTCTTTTTTCCCTCCCTCCACATCTGTTAATCTGCTCAGGGAATAGCAGAAGACAGAGTTTTCCAAACCCCTGTGCATTAACGTGTCGTGCAATTCATCACTGGTTGAGTCTTAAGTTCTGAGAAAGTCAGAATTTGACTGAGAAATGGGGCCTAACTTAAATCAGATTATGGGTTGCTTTAAAGTAGCCAAAAGGTGGAAGTTGGTTTATTGGAGGCTTGGGGTTACGGTGGTCAGCTTGGATTTATACCCCTCTGTTAAAAAAATGACACCAAAGAAGATCCAAGAAAAGACATCCAAGGGGGCTTATGGATTCATTTCATCAGTAAAACCAGTTGATTATTAGATGGAAACTAAGGGTAACAGTAACACAACCCATTACATCTTACAGCTTGATTGAAAAATTAAGATATTCCTACTGAAGACTTGATCGAATTATTCTGCTAGTTTCTACGCAGTCTAAAAAAACACTTTGGATGAACAAAAAAGCACAGACCAAACACTTGCCAACAGATAAGAATAAGGGAAAAAAATCAAAGACAACAACATTGCCTGGATGGAGGGAGGAGCAGAGCTGATCCTGCAGGTGATAGAGACGGACACACAGCTGAGCGAGGGGCAGGTGGGATCCGCACAATACTCTGATTGACTGTGTCGTCTGTTCACCTCCCGGTATTATGTGCCTGGTGTGCAGATCCCACCTGTCCCTCACTCAGCAGCGTTACCGTCTCTATAACCAGCTCCCCTCTCCTTCCATCCAGGCTCCTTTTTATTTTGGAATTGCTCTGCTTTTTGGTTAATAAATTCGTTTTTTAAAGAACCTCTGAATGAATTCTGGGTCCGCTGCCATGTTTCATTACAATTTTTTTTTACATTTCATTGTACAAAACATGATTTTTCTTTGAAGGAAGCAATGTTTTGTATGTGTGCCTTAGATTTTGTATTTTATGCATTCATATTTTTTTTAAATTATTGTACTATTTGAAAGCAGTGATTAGTAGGATCATAGAGCAGCAGAGTAATGCATTTTCAGTTTATAATGCATGCACTTTCATTTATGTATTTATATTAATATGTTTATTAATATGATAAAAGTTTATTGATAATATTGATATTAATATTTTGTTTTTTTTAAAAACAATGTGTTAGGTCTTGGTATAGTAGGCTATGTTAATTTCAATATGTTTTAATAAACATCTAACCATTTAATCCTCAGCTTGTAGCAAATTTGGTTTTTTGGCCCTCAGTGTATTTGACTTTGACATCTCTGCCTTAAATGATTTAAATGATCCAAACTTTTGCACAGTGTTTTAAGTGAGTAGCAATCGGCTGCCTGTGGTGGACATTTAAAAGTCAATCATGCATTGGGGGCCTCTATCCCAAACGTGTGTGTTTTTAAGTACAGGAGTGTCTGCAAAGCCATTAAAGCCCCAATTCCTGTTTAGACGTGAGGTTGCCCTCTGGTCTTTGTGTTCCCATCATCTTTCATCCCTGATTGATTCTGACAGCGAACAATAATGGGCATGCAGAGAGAGTGAATTCTCTCTGGCTATTTGTCAGTCCATATTAGCTCAACCCATTGGCCTCAAGTCACTTAGTGATTGCAGATCCTCAGTGAGGACAGCAGCAAATGCAAAACCAATATTTCAGAAAAAAACTCAAAGCACAAAGAATTAAAATACCTATACTACAATTAACAATAATCTTTCACTTGAATATCTTTTTCTATTTAAGGGCCTGGATATATAATTTATGAAATGTTGGAGAACAAAGAGCTTCACAACTCCTCTTAGGAACAACTAGAAATATTCAAAGGGAAAAAACAACAAAAAAACAACAACAACAACAACAAAAAAACAACTAAAGAGATAATTGCATGACTGTACTTATTTTTGTTTACAGATATCTGTCACAAGAGGAATTCAAATTTTCAAATGCAATTAAAATTTCCCAAGGCATTCGAT